AAAGAGTGTAGAAAACAAATTTATAAACTTATGAGAAGTCTCGATTCGTAAAAATAATTGGTGCAATTAATGGCCATGTGTACAGTCCCGTACATACCCAGGATGAGATAATTTTAACCCACATTGAAGCAGCATTAGAATTTAATGTTTCTAGCGATGAAGAATTTGGTCTAAAAAAAAATTATTTGTAAACGTTATCAACTAATACTACAGATAATAAAATAAAAACCATATATAACCTTGTAATACAAATAGGTAGTAATTCATAGAAAATTTAGTAATAAGATAATTTGTTTTTCAATATAATTATAGTTTTATATTATATTCTTATTAAAATGATTGTAGTTTATAAAAATTAATTTTTAAATGCTTTTCCTCCGCAAGTGTGTAATAATAACAAATTTATTTTACAAAAACTTTTAAAATAAATTATATTTCTTATATAAATTTCTTTTCCTTTGCTTATACTATTTTTTTAATTTATATTCGTAAATTCAAATTAATTTGAAAATGAATGATAATACTTACTTATACCAATTGGTAAGGGTCATCATAACATATAATGTAGCAAGTGCAAACATGAAGTGGAAGAAACTCCAATTATAAACAACTCCATCTTCTTCATTGTCCCAGACTTTAGCGCTGCCATCTTCTGCATCTCCATTGCGACCCTCAACTGAAATATAATCTGAGTATGTTCAAAAAACAGAAAACTGAAAACCAAAACTAATGTGCAAAAAGCATAATTTATGAATGTCTTCTATAATGACATTTAAATAGCAACACAAAAATAAATATAATAAAGAATATCAGCAAAAGCAGGCACACACTAATTTTAAATATTTTATATGATATATTCTAATCAAGCAGTTATACAATGAAACGAAAACTCATAAGATACTATTAGTAAAAAAAAAAAGAATGAAACTGAATGAATGCATTGAGTGGACAAGACTGTGTAAAAATCAATAAGAATTGTGTGTGGCTACCTTCATTATCAATAAGAGACTGGTCACCTGTGTTCAGCATTGTATGCAAAAAGCAATATTTGTTAAGACTATGTTAGAAATATATGAAAAATACCAAAATAAATTGTCAAATTATTTTTATTTTTATTTGATTTCTAATTAAAATATTACGTATTTAGAATTTATATTATCACAGAATAACTTCTTGTTCAATAATAAGACATAATATTGAAATTATCATATTTATAAAATTACCAAATACAGTTAACAATAAATAAATTATTAACTAATTTTTATATAATTGAAATTTTTTAATTATGTTAAACAATGTATTTAATAATAATTTTTAGATATTTTGCATGCAAATAGATTAAATTTAGTAACTCTAAAGTAATTTAATAAAACTTAGGCACCTTATTTCTCAATTTCAATAAAATAACAGAAGAAATTTATATTTACCAGCTCCATTATCTTGATCTTTTTTTGTATCAAATTTTAATGCTATACGAAGACAATTGTATAAAATAGAACTGAACCAAATAACCAATTCAATAATGCTTTCCTTATCGAAAGCCATTTGATTTTGAGCAGTAACATCATTACCAGCAATAATTCCCAACAATCCAGGATTACACTCACGATCTACATAAATTAATTTATAACTTTTATTTTTTAAGTATTTACTCTATTAAAAATTATTAAACATGCACATAAAAATGCTTTTAAAAAATAAGAGTTTATACACAAATTACCTGGACTATTTGAAATACCACTCCATGTTAGGTAGACAATGTACAATGATAAAACAGAAGATTGCAATAAACCACTATGAGGTTGGCGTTCCTGAACTTTTGGTAAGATTGAGATTGCACTAATAATAAGACATAAAATCAAATTAAACGAAATGAAAAATTTATTCAATGAGCAATCATCAACCTGTAAGGAGGTATAATTAATTTTATTAAATATTTCTTGTGCAATATTTACAAAAATGATAAAAAAATGTACCTTGGTGAAATAAACATAAAGAAGAACTATACCGGTAAAAGACAGAACGTAATTTAATAGAGTACATCCAAGAAGAGCTGCATACCTGAATAAAATACAATAAAAATAATACTGAAGGTAAATAAATTATGACTTTGAATAAATTTATTTATAATATTTATTTACCGGCCCTTTGATTCTGTTTCTTGATACTTTTGTACCCAACTGGCAGCCCAAAAATGAGCAAACATATTAATCAAATATATTTGAATTAATATAAACATGAAGCCACCAATCATTCCAAAGTACATCCAAGTAGGACCAAATGATCCTTCTGGTATAAAGAACGCTCCAATCATACCACCAATAAGTAAAAGATATTTAAAAGCCCAGAATCTAGAATATTATAATTAATGATTTCTTTATTTTCAAAATTAACAAATTACAAGCTTACCCATTTTGTATACCAGCTCTAGGATCTTTTGTACTTTTAACGCGAAGCATAATAATTGACATAAGGAAAAAGAAAATGGACATAATAAAACATATTCTATAAACGGCTAAGTATCCAACTGCAGATTGACAATCAATTGTGAATGAATTAGGAATATAATTAGTACTGTTTGTACAAAAAGGAACCTGTAAAAAATTTTATGTTTATAAAAATCATATTTCCAATTAAATGTTTGTTAATACATGTTTGTTCGAATACTAATATAAAGGATAAGTAATGATGAAATATACAGATATAATTTTATAAGATTATTGTAAATTCGATATATTGAACATTATATTACCTTTTTTAAAGATTCTTGAAGGCCTGGTGCTAAAGTAATACAAGCAGCTATTGTACCTAACATTAACATTAAAGCATACATAATTACAGTACTTGTACTGTTGCGACATGATGGACATTGTGAACAGCAAAAGCTGCAAGCTGTACTGCCACAGAGGCAGGCAAGCTGTAAACAAAGTAAAAAAAAGACAACAATATAAGATTAAATTAATAAAAGAATTCTATACAAAATTAAAGTACTGCATTTTACAGAACATGTAATAGTAATTAGTAATTCACATAAATAAAATAAAATTAATAAATTTTTATTTATATTGTTTAATATATTTATGAAGCAAGCAACATTGAAAATTCTTGTATATTTAAAATAAAATATTTAAAATTCACATTTTATTATATAATTTCAGTAATAAACTGTAATAAAATATAAATATTTTTAACCGATTGACACAGCTAATTTTATGACATTGAAAATCCAACATAAAAATTATATATTTCAATTAAGCATACTAACTGTAATTAAAGAATTTAACCAACGAAGAAATAAAAATTAAATTTACATACAGTAGAATAAAATTATAAATATATATGTATATATACACCTTTATGCATATACGCATATATGTATATATATAAAATACATAGTTTCTCTGTAGACCGTAAAACTATAACAAATATTATATTGGTTATATCAATAAATTAAATAATTTATTGAAGCAAGATTATTTATGGAGACAATGAAAGCAATTATTCTTCATCGTAAGTATATATAACTCCATATCTCAATAACGCGAAGACACAATAGAGTACGAAAAAAAATCTGACGTAAACAACTTTCCAAAATGTCAGCTGATGGAATAGAGACGCAGTTAACCTTAAAGTTAATTCATTAAAATTAAGAAAGTACCTGTGCAGTTGAGCAAACCAGTCCCATAATGAATGCTCACACTAGCAAGCTTTAATTTCACAAAAATCCTTATTCACTAAGTTTTAGAGAGAAATTAACGAGGTTATTTTTGAAAAACCAATAAAGATAAAGTAAAACAATCTGATAACGGAATCCCAATATGCTGCTAAGGAATAACACGGCGAACAATATTTTTTTTTATTATTATGTGGTAATGAAAATCGAAAGAGAGCTGAATTTGCTATTCGCGAGAATTAGCACTAATCGAGACGAACGACAATGGAAGACGATACAAACGCTAGACCGACCTAAGATTTTAATGGCCGAAATGTACGGTATCATTCGTCAAGACGTTGATTATCACTTTAGATTTTTGTGCCTTTACGTTGTGCGTACATGTAATGCAATGCAATTGTGCACAACGCAACTACTGAGTCGAAGAAAACGGAGAATTGGGACTGCGTAAATTGACTGGTCACCGCGTCTGCGCGCTTTTTCAAACACTCCGCGCGTACCTCAATCTCCAAATTGTATTTTACATACTTGGCCGCAGTTTAAATTCTAAATACCGTTAGAAAAAACGTTCGAATTCTTAAACATATTTTTTAATTAGAATTTGTATTCAAATTTTGTATTGTCATTCACCAAGGCTTTTATTTTAGCCTGTTAGTATAGAACCTATTTAATATATTATTGAAAAGTAGTTTTATAAAATACTTTATAAAAAAGAAAAGATATAGGTATTTGTAAGATCAAATACGGAATTTAGTGTTGTAAGATGAAGAAAGTGTCGAATAAATATTGATGGAATGGATGATTGATGGAATTGATTTTATTTATTCTTATACTTCGACATAAAACAATTTGCTTTGTTATTTAATTTTTTTTATAAATTATAAAGCACTTAGTTAAATGTGCGAATCTGCACATACAAGATTTTGCAGAAAATAGAAACCTTCGCGATTAATCGGGTAACATAATGGGATTGGAAGTTTCGAATGATGAGCCAATCTGCATCGCGGCAGTCAACATCGTTTCTGTTCATCCTTCAATCATCTGACGTCGCTGGTCAGTCACTATATCATTGTAATAAAAGTCGCGCAACTCTAGCTTTGGAACCGCGAATGTTACTTGAACATACCGCAGGTCTGTTTTTATAACTCTAATTTTAAATCGACATTGCGAAAAAGAGCAAATACATTGATTCTGTGTTTTTATCGAAACTTTCGTCGAAGTGTTGGTGATGTTACAGTGATCATTCTTAACAGAAACTATAATAATTAACATTCGTATAATAAATAATTTATCATATGTATATATATATATATATATATATATGTATATATTTGTATGAATGATTTTGTGCATGTATGTATGTTTATAGTTGGCGGGGGAGGGGGGATTTAGGGGAATTAAGCTATTTTCACTAATTGTAATCTGACACGATTTACTTATGAAAAAACTCGTGGTTTATAGCAATATTGAAAAATAATTTTTCAGCTCAATATTACTCGCTTTATGTAATATTGCTTTAACTAGCAGTCATATCATACGATTATATTTTTATATTTTTATAGTACAAAATAGTCACAAATAATACAATCAATTATAATAGTGCATAAAAAAAGTAGAAGATTAATTATAATTCGGTTTTACATATCGATTATTCAATCACTAGTATTTATTTCTTTCGTTATAAATTCCAAATTATACGTCATATTCTAATTTATATTAGTTTAGTCTGGACATATCGTATATACGTAATTACCGGTGCTGATTGGATTAGTGCAAGAGATTTTTTTTTGCTTCAAGGTCGGATTTTTAATCGCTATGAATGAACTAAAATTGGAAATGATCTGAGCTATGCTAATAATATTTGTATTTCAATCCATGTACTTAGAATTTTTTTTCTCTTAATAAAAAAATCTTACATTTTTATTTTCATTTAATCAATTTTATAATTTATAATTTATTATTTGTGATGTTTGTGCATAATATTTTATACACTTTATTTTGATTGGAATTTTTATTAATATCTTCAAAACAAATTAAACATATCAAAATCATAACTATTAAATTAATTTTTTAAATAGTTTGGCCTTAGATTAAAATTCATTTTAATAAATACTAATTATTTTATTTTTTATAATTAGTACATACAAAATTAGTTTTTCTAAATAATATTAAAAATTAATAATATCTAAGCAATATTCTTACAGAATGTATTAAAATTTGTTGAACAAACAGTGAAATTTGGCAAGTGTATGGAAAGATAAAATAAAATAAATTTTCTATCTTTGACAACTGAAATAATTAAACAATATTCAGCTATGGAAGAAGAAGTAAACAAATTAAAAACTTGGCCTCATATGACGTTTTATTCATTGAGTAAATCTTTCTTTATAAAATTGGCAACTGTTGGTATAATTTGGGGAGTTGGCTTTTTGAACTGGAATTTTGCATGGCTTGTTCCTCCGATTGCATTTGTTGTATTGAAAAGTGAACGAAAAAGGGATGGAGACTTAAAAAGATTAACAGCTCAAGCTACTGCATTATCAAAAGAAAAAATTATTATTGAAAGCAGAATTGATGAATTACCTACATGGGTGTATTTTCCAGATTATGATAGAGCAGAATGGTTAAATGGAGTAAGAATATGAATTAATATATATTGGCTATTTTTAATAATTGTTCTATTACTAACTACCCTTATATAATTATAGATTCTTTATAAGCTATGGCCAAGTGTTAATCATTATGTTCGAGATCTGTTTAAAAATAATATTCAATATACAATTTCTGAATGTATTGCTGAATACCAAAAAAAAATTCCAGGGATGGGACAAGAATTTCGTTTCGGTAGGCTTGTTTTAGGACGAATTGTAAGTTAATTTTATTAGTATTTATAAATTTATTATTTTGAATATTAAGCATAAACTATTGTATTTATTATTAGAAATTGAAAATAGTCTGAAATTTAATAATAACTTTAAATGATATATATATATATTTTTTTTATAGCCACCAAAAATCAATGGAATTAAAGTTTACGATAAACATACATCTAGAAATGAAGTAGTACTTGATATGGATGTAATGTAAGTACTATAAAGTATTATATTATACTTAAGTTAATTCATAAAGAATGAAAAAAAATATTTTTAGGTATGCTGGAGATTGTGATATTACATTTACTATGGGAACTTTAAAGGCAGGAATAAAAGATTTTCAGGTATATGAACTTTATCACACATTTAGTATTAATGTGTATAAAATAAATTAGATACTTTGGATTTTTAAAATCATAAAAATATATTTTTTATATTAAATGAATGTATGCATCTGTAAACTAAATATTCATAAATAATTAAAATTACTTCATTATTAGTTGCGGGGTATGTTGCGAGTAGTATTAAAACCATTAATACCAATCATACCAATTGTGGGAGGAGTACAGGCATTTTTTTTGAATTGTCCAATTATTGATTTTAATCTGGTTGGTGTAGCTGATGTACTTGACCTTCCTGGATTTAGGTAGTCCTATTGTATATTATACATTTGTTTACATCTTTGTAACTGTTAATAAACAATATTTTAATCAAATAAAATTCTCTATATAGTGATGTACTAAGAAAGATAATTACAGAACAAATTGCTGCTATTGCTGTGCTTCCAAATAAATTTAGTATGCCACTTTCCGAAGACGTGCCTGCGCAGGTGCTGAAAACCCCTGAACCAGAAGTAAAATAATTTTTAATTTATTTTATAGTATGTAAATTTTTCAAATTCAATTTCATATACTACACGAAGTTGTATTAGTTATAATTTAAATTCATTTAAATTTAAAAATGTTTTTTGAAAATTTTGAAATATAAAATGTAGAATCTCCGTTATTTACTAATTACATATTTTAGGGTATCCTCAGAATTCATGTGGTACAGGCTAAGCATCTTATGAAAAAAGATTTCAGCATGCTAGGTAAAGGAAAATCTGATCCATATGCTATTATTACAGTAGGAGCTCAAGAATTTAAAACAAAAACTATTGATAATACAGTAGATCCCAAATGGGACTTTTGGTGCGAGGTATATATAACTAATATTTGTATTATTAAAATTGTAAGCTACTTTTACTGCATGCGCTTTAATTAAGACTGATTTTTCAATATTTGTACCAATTCAGTTTTAAAATATGGTAATAAGATATTTTTATAACTCTGTATGCAAAATATTAAGTTCCTTTGCTAGTTTAAATATATTTATTTCAATTTGGGTTTCAAGCATACTTGCATTTTAATATATATCCATTATTTAATGCACTTATTCATTGCAAAACATAAATTGAAATATTATTTAAATACTTTATTTTAAACATTTTCATTGAAATGTCATAATTATAATTTATTCGTTTTACACATAACAGTCATATTTGTGTCAATAATTTTAACTATAAATATTTTAACTTATTATGATTTATCTTGAATAATTTGGTAGGTATGAATGTATGTGATGTCATGTGTGTTGTGTTATACATTACTAGTGTGTCATCACATCGGTCATCGCTCAGCAACTTACTGTTCAGATTTGGGACTTTGACGATACCAAGAACGATGAATGCCTTGGAAGGTATGATAATTTTTATCAAAATTGTATTTGTTTAAATAAATAACAAGCTATTAAAATTGTTTTTACAATAAAATAAAAATAAATATTTATGATGTAATATTCCAGAAGCAGAAAATTTAAATTAAAATTTTCATTGTTAATATTTTTAATAGCAGTATATATATATTTTTTTATTCTTAAACTCTATACAATAGATTTAATATAAAACACAACACATCTCTTATCATTAGTCACATTATTTGCTTAGCATGTTTGTTTGTTTATTAGCATCCACAAACATATGAGTTTAATTATATTTATGTTGGGATTATACAACTTTGATAAAAGCATTAATTAAGCATTGCCTTGTCATGCATAATTGTTTTATCATTGCCTTTGAGTGCTGTTAATAAATAATCATTAACAACTAATTTGTAAGAAATTAAAATAAAATATAAATATTATAAAGTTAAAAAACTATTTTGTGTATTTTATACCATAGAATAATTAAGTCTAGATTTACTATTTTATGATATTGCCATGCAGGCTGTGATCAATAGTATCCTTAGACAAGAAGTCGAATTAACTGTATGGGACTGGGATCCAAACGTCCCCGGGGTACACGTTGATGATTTTCTTGGCAGGTAGTAATAATGTATACGAGTGGATTGACTTCGTGCATGTTTGCTCAATGAGGCCGTGTATTGCTTTACATTATAGATCTTTAATATTATTATACAGTTTATAAGACATTTTAATTTTCAACAACAATAGGTTTTAAATAGAAAAAATAATTGTGTTTTTATATGAACTTTTATAAGTGTTTCTTAAATCTTCAAAATCATATATAACATGATATTTTTTTATGTGTTTTTGTAATATTTCCTATGAATGCTTCATAATAAAACAATAACTACACGCCATTTAATATATATATTAAATGACGTGTACTTATTGTTGTATACTAATATATATATATATATATAAGTATTAGTCATCCAAGAAGAGTTTGGCTCACATTATTATTTCTGTTTTTAATAAGCGCTGATTTAAAAAGGAAATCTCATAAAAGTAAGGTCTAATTCTACAATATTATACTCAATTTAATACTAATTCCTTAAACTATGTCAAATATACATACAACAACTTAATTATTCTTTTTCATCAAACAGTTTGCAGTTTTATATTATTTAATAGTTCCTTTTTTCTTTTGTACGTATAAAAATTCGTATATAAAACAGACAAAAACATTGTAACAAATCAATAATTTTTGATTTTTTAATTTGCTATAAGTGTCTAATTAAAGAACGGTTGAGCATGTCATTGATTGAAAACTAACTAAATCAGCTTATGTATGGTGGCAGTGCATAATGGAAGCGGGCTCAGGACCTTGCAAGAAGGTGATGGTTCATCTCTTTGACAAAGACACCACTGGCCCAGATGATCTCCTTGGCAGGTACAATTTATTGATGAAAATTCAAAATGTTTATAACGAATCTCTTATTTGATCACATATTATTACTCGAACTTTCAGATTGTTAAAATTAGGAAACTTAATGATTGAAGTAAATACCCTGCCATAAGTAGAATCATATATGTATTTGGATGGCTTGCTATTCATTTGTGAAAGACTTGACTTTTTAATTTTATTTATTTCTTTATTTTATATAATGTCAATATTCTATAATTTATCGTTTATTCACTAATGGTTTATAATTACATGTTAAGCTTTCTGCACCAGTATATTAAAATATGAATTATACAAAATAATAATATACATTTAAATTTTAAAATCATATAACATTGAAAAACATTCGTTTTATATGACGCTATTAATTTTCAAATAAATTTTTGTTTTAGAATATATAGTAACTTCGAACTATCAAATTTTATCTATTAATTATTTTGTTCATGGTTATATAATTTTAAAAGCAATAAATTCTATTCTGATAAGTAATTTTATAAAATGTTGCACGTGCATTCGTAATAGAAGATAGCTTTAGAGCCTGCTTAGTTAAATTGAAATGCATTGATGCTAAAATTAGTTAAAAATAAGAAGGCTTTGAAACTTTTACTGTAGTGAACTTTCAAATATGGTACCTTTTGCTTACTTAAAATTTGCTTACATATAATGTACTTTGTTTTATTCTTGTTAAATATATTAGAATAAAATTAATTTATTGCAATAGAGCGACTATCGAAGTAAGCCGAGTGAAGAAAAAGGGGACCATTGATACGGTGAATATAGATGCAATTATGTATAAAAATATTTGTCAAGAAAATCTTTTAATAATTTCTCTTTTATTACAGTGGATATCACTGGAATTAGCCAAGCATGGAATGATTCATCTACGCCTTACATGGCTTCAGCTTTCGGCAAATCATAATGATTTAGCAGCGGTAAGCTATATATTAAGTTATATTATATCATTTTGAAGAAAAAAAAAATTATAAAAGAAATATTTTCTATAATATTCTGATTGTATATTTTATAAAAATTTTAGGCATTAAAAGAAACGCAAGAATTACGGGTAACATCAATGAGCACTGCTCTTTTAATAGTTTATGTTGATTCTGCTAAAAATTTACCAGTAAGCAAATTTTATATGCTTTCCAATATTGTGTAATGTACAAATAATTATGTATTTTAGTGTTTAAAAGGCAGTAAACAACCTGATGTTTATTTGGAATTAAGTGTAGGTGGTAAAGTAGAGAGAACAAAAACATTATTAAGATCTTGCAATCCTGTGTGGGAACAAGGTTTCACTTTATTAGTGATAAATCCTGAAACTGGAACTTTACATATAAAGGTAATTTGATAAAAAAAAAAAAAAAATGTTAGCAAACAGTAATATATCTTAGTTCTTCTAAATGTATATGTAATAAATTATAGCTCCATGACGAAAAGACTGCGACAGTAATAGGAACATTGACTTACAATCTTTCATCAATTTTGGCAATGAACAATTTGGAAGTAAAGTCGCAACCATTTGACTTACAAAAAAGTGGATCTGAAAGTAAAGTTTTATTATCAATGATTTTAAAAGTAAGCATTATAAAGTTTCCTAAATTCGATATTAAATTTTCCTATAACAATTTTTTTAGTATAACTTATTAATAACTATACATTTTTTTATTTTATTTTTCAAACTAAATTTTCATTTATAAATCATATCAACAATTATAAAATTCTGACCAAATGTTCTTGTTTCTATTTTGTCCCGTACAAATTTTAACTTAATACACAAAATATCCGAACCAGTCAATTGATTGATATGCAATTATCATATATACAATAAATATTTTATAATTTTCATAGATTTTAAAATACGAGGAACCAGAAATAACTTCGGAGGACGAAGAAGAGGACGATATACAGAATTTAAATAAAAAACTCAATCGTCAAGAGTCAACTATTTCCAGTATCAGTATGCAATGATTAATATATTTACTAAATATAATAATAATATTTTAATGTATCAGTACTTCATTAGGAATTTATAATTTAGTTACAGATAGTCCTCTTAAACGCCAGCCATCAAAAGAGTCTATTCAAAGTGCTGTAGGCAATGTAATTCCTGCAAAAACTACTATATCTGCTAATGAAAGTGTAGAGGAAGTAAGTCAGCGGGACTATGCACCTGTATCAGGTGTCCCTCTATTTTCACCAACTCAAAACAACTCACCCGGATTAATTCGCAGAAATCCAAGCGTCACTTCATCATCTGGTGATTCAAAGCTTGGTCGAATTCAATTAACTATGAAATATAGCATTTCTAGACAAAAACTTATGATCAACGTACATAAAATTGCGTAAGATTTAAAATTATTAATATAATATACGTTGCATGTATCTCTAATTATATTCTTAGTATTTTAAGATTACAGAAAGTAACTTCATTTATAAAATAAGAATTGCTTTTTGAATATTTATTTAAATATTAGTATTCTAAGAATTATTGTTTTTTTTTTTGTTTTTTTTTTTAATGAATTAACAATCAAACTTAAAAAATGAACATTAATTAATTTTTTTATAAATTTACGAAAACATTTTTGTTTTTATTATCAACCAATTAAAGTAATAAGATGATGAATTTTTGCGTTATTAATTTTAGTAATCTACCGCTACCATCGAATGATCCATCAAATATCCCAGATCCTTATGTCAAGTTGTATTTGCTGCCTGATCGACATAAGGATACGAAACGTAGGACCGCGGTAATAAAGGACAATTGCAATCCCACCTTTGATGAGCAATTTGAGTACATTGTGTCCCAAGGTGACATCAATACCCGAATTTTGGAACTGTCAGTCTGTACGCAAAAAGGTTGGCTCTCGACAGGCAGTAATTGCATTGGTCAAACACTTATAAATCTGTCCGAGCTCGATTTTACTCAAACTATTACTAGCTGGTATGATTTGCAGCCAGAGATGAAAACATAAAAGATGATAAAGCTCTAAAGATAGCTATATTATTAATTCTATAATTTGTATTTCTCCTAACAATATTTGGTCGAATAATTTATTAAATATAAGGCAGCTAGAAACTTAATGCTCTTAAAAACAAAAATATAAATTGTTTAATAGAATTAATTTTAGTCACAATTGTTTATGATATTAATAAAATTGGAATTTATTTTTAAGCAATTTCAATGATAATACACAATGTGAATTTTATTTATCAAATTTTTACAGTTTTTGTTTTTACAGTTCTTAAAATTATTTAACCTATTTCAAATAGTTAATATACTCTTTATAGAGCGAGTGGGAATTGCAATATAAATAATACTTTAAAGAAAATCAATATCTTTAAAGAAAAACTATTGATGCCAAGAAATTTTCTATTTAAGCGATTATCGTTATTTCATTTAATAAATAAAAATTTCAAATTTGTCTTAATAAAACCAGTCATTAACTTTCATTTAAAAGAATTATTAATCAGTTTGCGAGTATAATATATATATATATATATATATATATATATATTATTGACCTCACAATTCATATATTTTAATATTAGTTACTTAGAAATATAAATGTAAAAGTTTTTTAATCTAAGGCTTGTGATAATCATGAAAGTTTTTAGGATTTTCATTTTGATCAATCTATATATAACAAATGTTGATCATTTTCGAAAATCTAAATATAAATAAAAATTTTTATTTATATTTTTGCGTAAAACGTAGTCTAGAAAATATAAGTAAGTTATCGCTATTAAAATATCGAGCGTTCCATATTGTTTTATTTATCTTAATTTTGCCATAATCGTATTTATCTTAAATAAAAGTTATAATTTAAAAAATCATGATCTTTAAAAAACATATCCAATCTATGGATAATTATTTGTTTAATTATTAAACGAATATGTCACAAAAACTAGCTGCACAAAAATTGAATAGATCATGATTTGCATTTTATTAGTTGATATAATAATCAATGCTTGATGTAAACATAAATAAAAATATGTTATTAATACATTTACTGTAAATTAAAACTGTATTTCTCTTTTTTTACCTTTTATATATTAAATGAATTTTATGAAATTTCGAACAAATGAAACCGCTCGACTAAACCTAAGCAAATAAAGTATAAATAATTTTTTCCCACTAATATATAAAACACTATTGCGCATTTAATAAAAGTATATTGTATTTATACAAGCCTTTTAATTATATTCTATTCATGTATAAAATATCAAATACTATATATAAAATGAAAGTGATATAAACACCATTGTTTTGTTTAATTATTATTTATTTTCTTTATTTTAAGAATTAGTATACAATAAGTTGCTTTAATTGTTAGTGATATTATTAAATAATTAGTTATACTCCAGTATTGATCTTCTTATCTCATTTACTTCTTACAATAGTCGAGAAACTGTTTTTTATTACCAAGGAAACCTCAGTAAATAGAATCATTTTTCGAACATAAACACGTTATTGTCAATTTTTGACAAAATCGATTATTTGCCCTAAAATAAAAATAAATTTATTTTTAGCATATATTTTAAAATTGCGTTGGATTATTCAACGTGAAATAATATTTTTGTATTTTAATAATGTATCCGCCTCAACTTCCTTGTCTACCTGGATTCAACTTTAATCAGAACGTAAGTTTTTTTAATTCTTTTTTGGTTAAGTTAGAACATATTTAAGCTTTTCAACCAATAACTGTCTAAAGTAAAATAATGAATTTATAGAAAAAAGATAGTACTATTATGAATAATATTATAAATAACTGCCCAATATATCATTTATGATTATTTAATGAGTTTATATTTACATAGTTGTATAAGAAAATTAAAATTAATCTCTTTAATTCCAAAATTTCAAAATGTGGAGATTCAATTTAACATTTTCCACAATTAAATACAAGTTTAGTGAACATAAAAGCAGAACTTTTCCCTTTACTTTTACCTCAATTTGAATTTGAGCAAAGTAAACATTCATTAGTATTTAAATAAATATGTGAATGAGGAAAAAAATTTACGATGTATTTTATATTAAAAATTAAATACAATAAGCTGCAATTAGTATTTAGCTAAGTCTGCCTCATGCATAGTGTATATCTTCGATCAAAAAATTGTAATTCCTGGCTATACCCATGACGTAGATTGGCCGCACGAAATTCAACAAGAGTCATATATTCGACAAAATTCACAAGAACGTATATTACCTCATGGATAAGCCTGATCCATCTGGATTCAGTCGTTACCCAGCACTTTATGCATGGGGAGAAGAGCTACAGCGTCCGCCTTGGTTGATGTACGACGGACAGGTTTGACAATCAACTTGCATTTTCTACTTAACTCTGGAAAAATCGTTGGTCCTTGGGAAGCATATTGAATATATATCATTAGCAATATTCAAAAGTTCTTAGTATCTGAGAAACGTATACGAATTTCACTTTTATCATTTCTGAAATTCCATTAAGTTCGAGAGAAATTTAATTTTAATTGATAATTATTTGCAATAGCAGATTTTTGAATCTAATTTAAGCTTTTAAAATTTAGCTAAACTTTAGTGAATGAAGGAAAACTTTTATATATTTTCTATGCTCTACATATTTAACATATTATTCATATATTATTAAATTTGCTTATGTTTCATTTATTTTTTGCCTATAGATTCTTGTATAATAATCAGAATTTTAATAAATTGAAAAAATTTCTAATACAATCTCAATTATCTAAAATATTATACTTAATTTCTTACATTATCTCAAATTTAAAAAATTAAAATAGTTTATTCAATCACCTGCGCGTCTGACTGAATTCAACGACTTTATAATTATTAAATTATGCTAAGTTTTAGTGTAATTATATATCGAATTATGATATAATTCACATTGAAAATAGAGTAATTTAAGGTTGTCGTCATCAAAAAGTATTATACATTCATTACCACAGTAACGTAACATTTATAGAAATATTAATATTAAACAATAAATGCATGTGTATTTGTATTATTAATATATGTATTATATATTTTTATTAAATTCTTCACAGAGGCTTAAATTTAATGCATATTTCCAAGAAAGTGTCTATGGGAGGCGCGAGCCTGTTAATGTTCGTCTGGTCAATATTAGTTTCTTTCTTGAAGATGGAACGATGAAGGTTTGCGAGCCTTCTATTACTAATAGCGGACTTGAACAAGGTTTGTTATTTATTCCATTGGAAGTGTATTCATGCTAGCTAATACAATACATTTGGAAATTACCTTGTAATTAGATAATTCAGAATGATAATGAATGCTTTATATAAAAAAAAGTCTATTTATAATATAATAGGAATATTGGTTAAAAGACAAAGGATTCCTCTGCCCGATCCTGTGAAGTATCGATATTATGATGTGCTTGATTTGAACATCGGCATGGAACCAAAAATTTTTGGACGCATTTATAAAATTATTAATTGCGACGACTTCACTAGAAAATTTTTAAATCGTATGGGAATTTCAGTTCCTGATCCTCTAACTGCTCCAAAAACTCCCACATACAAGAGTAATAATAGCGTGCGTTAAAAACTTTCACACAAAACTAAAGCAAATTAATATATTTTACAATTTTTTTTCTGTTAAATATATTATGAATTTACAAAATTTCTTAGATTAAAAATATTAAAAAATATATTGGAAAACGAGAGAATTCAGAGAAATTTTTTAAATATGATAGAAAAATATTAAGATTTTATGGTTATTGGGACGACAGCAGTTCTAATTATGGACATATTCATGATTTAGAAATTTTATATTATTTAGCAGATGATACTATTGAAGTATTTGATCATCTGCCATCTGAATGTGGACATCCATCTAAAACAGTACTAGTTAAAAAAATTAAAATACCTAAGGTAAGTTTTTATTTAATTGCATTTGATGAATTTATGGTTGTGCAAAACTTTTGAAAATTAGGGAATAAAATAGAAACGAAACGTATAACTTTGTGATAATTATCGTAAGAATTTAATTTAGATGGCTTTAGGTACATTATTCTGAGCACCCAACAACGTCTAACATGAATAATATTGATGCACATATAGATTTTTTTTTTATATACAATTGAATAAAACAAATATTAAGTTACTTTAATTTATTTTGCTAATAGTAATACTATTGTAATAATAATAATTGTTTTTCAGTTTTACAAAAGCATAGAACCAATTGGAAACGATGATCCCTTAACAATTTTAAATGTTATTGGCGATGCTAAAAGCTATTATATTACTGATCACTCGTACGAGGAAAAGTCATCAGTAGATTATTACAGAGAATGTGATTTTACAATTGGAGTGCAATTGAACATATTTGGTCGTAAAGTTAGAATAACTGATTTGGATAAATACACCAAAGAATATTATAGGTATATTTTTAAATAAAAAATGACATCATACTGATTAATAATTATCGATAATATAATCTATATTTTATAACTGTAAGAAAGAAGTACGGATTGGATGACTTTACGCCACTTGACCGACCCAAAAATCGAGGTAATGAATACAAAGATATTAATAAATACGTTCCACCATATAATGGTTTTGGCAGTTACGAAGATACCCTTGAAAATTGCTTCACAATAAGACCTAAGCGACCTAAAGTGATTAGTGATAAATCATATCAATATGAAAAGTAAGGGATCCTAGAGTATGGTTTTCATTTCGTCTATTCATATAAAAATTTTAATTTTTGTAAATACGTTCGATTGACGTATGCAAGCATATATACAGACAGAAAAAAATAATTAATTTCCATCACACTTTTCATTAAAAGAAAATTATTAACCTAAATATTTGTAATTATTAATTAATTTATTTATTTAGCCAAGAAACTGATAGGCGCATACTCAGATTTGAAGCAAAAATGATTTCCGCAATTCCTGCTAATAAGGACAGGCGGTTTATATTAAGTGTCTATTTGATAGATAACACAGTTTTGATTGTAGAAAATACTTCTAAAAAAGCAGGTTAACAATCTTCATTAGTAATTAGTGTTGAAAAAGAAATCTTTGTACTAAGCGCATTGGGTAATATTTTAAAACATTTTTGTATGGCTTACTTATAGGAAGTAAAAAAAGCGTATTCAAAAAAAGGATGCGATTTAAACTACCTGGGCAAAATATTTTTACTAGTGAAAGACCACAATATTACGAGCCACAGTACTTTTATGTTGGAGCTACTCTGAATCTCATGGGGTTTGAATTTGAAATCATAAATGCCGATGAATACACGTTCAATTATATGGAGCAGCATCCTAAAGAGGTAATGCATTTTTTTTAATAAAAATTTTCTCAAACACTATTCAATATTATTGCACTGTCATATTTTAGTTTCCAAAAGGCGATAAGGACGACATAATGTTTAAAATTCGAGAAACACTAAAGTCCGTTTATCAAGACTTCATTAATAAATATTCGCCAACTAAAATTGATGACAATCCGCCGATTCTAACGTATCTCCGCCTAAGGTATTTTCATAATCTTAATTAGCTTCAAATTCATTGGATAGCTGAAAAAAATACTTTTGCTATTGTTAAAACAGGGAAGCCACAAATGAATATCTTGGTAATCGCATAACCGAACACGAAATTATAACGATTGCCCGTTATTATGCATTTTGCGAAAAAAAGGATGTATGCCCACGGGAATATGTAAGGTACATAAAAAGTTGTCAAATTCCAGCTGTTAATTTTGTATCTAAGTTTCTTAATATTTATACGATAGATTTCGATAACTATTACATAGAAATATCTGACCACGCATATATTTATTGTAGAATAAATTATCTGAAAAACCTTTTAAAAAATTATTATAAAATTTAACATTGAAAAATTGTATTATAAAAATTTCCAGAAAATGATTACGAAGTTTTATGAAAATGTATTAAATTAATCGCACCATACAATTTTTAATACTACACTTAAATATATTTCACAGAGAATATTTATGTAGTTATCTTATTGTTTATTTTATGAGGACAGAAGATCAATTTTATATGCCGTATGGTTTACAATGTAATTGTATTACAATAAGCTTCGTTACAAAATAAAATTTGAGTAAATAATATATATTTTCAGAACGGTAGTTTTCATACAATATTTTACATATTATTAACTAAAAAATGTAAGCCAAAACACAATCATATTTCATTAATAGCTATCATATTAAATTTTATTTTTACATAGATTACTTTAAGTACATTATATTTTACAATAATCTTGATGGGATTAATATTTAATTACAATTAATATGGGAAGTAGTGCAAGCTAAACAATAATTTATGCATGATGCAGGTCAACGAGTTTATAATTACTGATTATTGGATAATATAATATTTAAAATTCGTTTATTTAGATAAATATTAATCATGGATATTGAAAATGTAATATAAGAAATATATAATAAATATATTTGAACGACTGAATTTCGGTCTCTTAAAATACTAGTATTAAATCAGTATCCATATTCAAGCAAAATAAGAGTCAGATCATTCACTGACTAAAATCCGGGACAATCTATATTGTCATCACATCGTCTCCTACCGTCAAAATGGAATTAGAGCAAACATACCAGAATGTGTATGCATAAACGAGTCATTGGAATAATATCGTCAGATTTTATACTTTCATTTGGTTAATGATTATTCACAATAATGAGATAATTCATAATTCCCTGATATACTTTAAAATTATCCAGCAACTACAATCGCATTAGAAAACTAATCGATCATGATAATACACCTAATAATTTAAAACGCAGAAGCTATTTTAGGAATATAATAATAATATAGGAATTATAATGATAAAATTTGTAGTTTTGAAATCATAAATATATTTATATTATTGCAACTAATTAAAATATTTACATCATACAATACAAATATTATACGTAGTTCATTTATTGTATTCGTTTATTATCAATTTTGTATACGACAAAATTATCTTTAAGGAATTTATAAAGTATTGTATAATAAATTCATAGTCACAAAATCAATTTAAATGTAAAATATTCAATATCCGATATCAAACAAAAATATTTTATGAATAAAAGTATGTTTCATAATATTTACGCTTATAATTCTAGATCAATAGTTCATACGGAGCTAATTCGTAATTTAGGCATTGATTTAGATAGACTTAAGGAGGATTTAAATAATTTGGATAGAAATAAATGTGGGTACCTTTCCCGCAATGAAGTTTATACGGTATTGTATGCCAACAGAGTTCCTCTTCCAAAAGAATTGATTAATATTATGCTAAATCGGTAAGTGAATGATGAAAAAGCTTCATTTATTTATTAAATAATATATTTATTTGTGATTGAAACATGTAATGTTTTAGAATTAATAAAAATGAAGAAGGACAAATTAATTTTCACGATTTGCTTAAATTCATTAATACAAACATAGATCCTGCTCCTTTAGTATTGCCAACAAATATAAAAGTGAGTTTCAATTATATAAATATTGTCTCAGATTATTATTAAGCAATATTGGATTAAAAAGCGATATGAAATTTATATTATTACGTATTAAATTGCATATTAAAAAATGTTAGAGTATAAATTTAATTTTGTAACTTTCATTTTTCGTTTAATTGTATAAGAAAATCCTTTATTTTTACAACAAAGAGTTTGTTATGATAATAATCATTTAATTTAATTTTCATTAAAGGCACTATGTTCTGAAGAAGAAAGTAAGCCCAAAGATTGCAACGAAATAAATTGGACCTTATTTATACAAGAACTGAATTTGGAAGAAGAACTGACAAAATAAACTTCGGAAGCCGGCAATAAAGATATAATTTATTAATTTGTTTACAACAGTAAAAGGAAAGGAATTTCATTGATTTTTTATATTACAAATATTTAATCTAACCATTTTAAAGAAACTTTAAGAAAAACTTTATATCTTCTATAAGGTATAATAAAAATAATAATGAATAGGATATTTGCAGTTAATTACGTAAATGTATTTATTATAGAATTATTCGAATACAATGTGTCGCTTACATTGAAAATTGATATTACTATTTACATCGGACTTTTTATGCGTACTTTTCTAATGAATACATTTATATTTAAATATTCAAATGGATTCAACTACTAATACATTTAATCGCACTGAAACTATATTTATATATAAATTTATATGTATATATACATATACATATAATCACACACACACGCGCGCGCGCGCACACACACACACACACACACACACACACACAGACACACCCTATATATATATATAATTATAAATTATACAAATTTTGTTATTATTCAAAATTATTTCTAGATAATAAGTTAAAATTGATCGTAATAAGATAATATAATATATGTACTTTATGACTTTTTTTAAAAACTGTAATTTTGGATATAGATAAACAAATTTTCTTGTCAGCTGTATTTCTTACATGAACAAATTGCTGATAATTCTCTTATTAGAAAATATATAACATAAATAAAATTTATAAAAATATGTCGTACATATGTAATACATATATTTTGAAGCATTGTTAACAAATTTACATAAATGAACCTTTAAATAATAATTTACGAGTATTGTATAAATTAGACAAATCTTATTTTCTTTGTCACAATAAAAGATCAAATTTTAGGATGCGTCAAATTTCTATTCGAAAACTCTGTAAAATAAATAATTTTTCAATGATTTTAAAAATTTAATTTTCGTTTCGAGCAGTTTATTTTATCACCTCTCGTATTTGCTTTATATAAATACACATATACGTTATTCCATACAATATAAATTTACATTCATCTGCCGTTATAAGATGAAAATATCATGACACTGCTGATATATTTTTTGTTAGATAGAAGTCAGATGCAATTCTGATATAATTATTTGAGTCATTGCGAATTAATTACGTTTAGTTGAATTAATTAATTACGAATGATTGATAGAGGAAGGAAATGTAATTGCTTTTGTAGGTGTAACCGAATGTATATTAATTAATATTTCATATATAATTCAGAATCTTATAAAATTTAGTATATTTCTAAGATTCAAACAAGTATATTAAAAATAAATTTAATTCATGATACATAATGATGACTTTACAAGAAATTTATGATGCGGATAATATAAAATTTCCCTAATGAGAAAGTTTAATTATATAATATATTTGTCATTTAAAATTATTTTGAATTTTATATTATCTGCAATTTTATAACATTGTGTATGTATAATTTTAAAAAATTAAATATGTTATATTTTTAAGTCAATCGAGTAATATCTTTCATATGCTACTAATAATAACAACGATCAAAATATATTTATATATTTTACGTCGAGATTACTTTTCTACTATTTCTGTAAGTGAAATTTAATCTACAGAAAGATACGACTTACATTTTTTATTTAAAAGGTTCTAATTCTTTGACACTATTTGAGTAAAATAATAGTACGTTTTACTTTCTTATATTGTGTTAAATATAAGAAACAATCATCTATAAATTTATAATATACGAAATTATAAATTAGAATAATAAATTAAAAATCTAAAATAGTGTAATATTAAAAAATATATACAAAAAGTTTCGAAATCTATGTAAAACTAAGTATTCTTCGGGATATAAGATTTCTTTTAATGGAAATTTCTTTATTATAGATATTTTGCTATCACATTTCTCTGAAGACTTCTAAAATGTTTAAAATAATTCAAACCTCCATGAAGATATAGCAGTAGTATTATATATGCATGTATCAGTATTAGTTATAAAGCTATAACTAATGTCATAATAAAATATTTAATAAATTTAAAATATAATAACTTACACATAAAATTGAATCGATCGATGAGAGTGTGAAAATTACAATTAAATAATCTCTTCTAAAAAAAAAGAAGGAATTAAATAAAACTATAATTTAAAATACATATCAACGTAAATTATAATCTTTTGTTTTTATCTTAAAACTGACGTGAAAAGTTATTTATACTAACAAGTCAGTTAAGGAGCCAGGAACTAAGAATTGAATCCAGAAGTATATCAAATTGATAATGTTTGTAAGAGAAAGCGTTCTAGTGTACATTTGAAATTCTATGCAAAAGTGAAGTACATTAAAAAAAATTTAAGTTATGCACATGAATTATGAATTTATTTAAAAAACCGAGGATTGCGTCATCGATCCTCGGTATATCGTTAATACGGTAAATGAACTCGAGACCGAGAAGTTAATAAAAAACATTGGACGCACATGTAGAGACTCTCGAAAGACGAGGCAATGATTGTTCGTTCGCCCGGCAAAACAGTCCCCTCAAAACCGAGCAGTCGTAAGAAAAAAAAACGGGACTCGGAAAGCATCCAATGGCTTGGAAAATGTCTCTCCAATTAATCCCAAGGATCCGTTCTATAGACGCACCTTCTTCTTCCGCTCCTGTGACGGCGACAAGGACATCGCAGACCCTCTCAATTGCATTCGTGGGTGATGATGACATTTCGGCAGGTCTTGCATTTGACGTAACAGCAGCTGAAGTACTTGCACTCGCATCGTTCGAGGATCTCCTCGGCCCGTGTCACGTGTCCCCTACCGCAGCAGAGGTATTCGCAGCCATCGTAGCCGGCGCTGCTCCCGTTGCACTGCCTGACAACATACAATGGACTAATTAGGTTTTCGGGATCGGGGCTGGGCACCACTATGCTGTTCTTTTCTTCGCTCGCGATGGGAGTGGCATGCCCACGAAAAAAAAAAAAAAGTCCTCAACCAGTCGCCTAATGATACGTGCGGAGGACATCGTGTGCTTCGAAAGATACTTCATGATTATAATTGAGGGGATGCCGTACGAATTTTTCATCGGTAATTTTAACCTGTTGAGTTTTCAATGAGAAGCTTCCCAAGCTCAATGCTATTTCCCGTCAGCCTTTCAAATTCGTTGACAAATAAACGAGACTTAAGCTCAAAATCGTCCGTGGATATAAAACTTATAGGCTAATATTTAACATTCGAGCACTATCATTATACATAAACATATATAATTATGCGAAATAGAGTGATGGATGATTATTAATAATAATAACAAAATAAAATGATTAAAATATTGAAGCATTAATATATTTGTTAAATAAACGTTTGGTAGATAAAAGTCAGCAAATATACAAATAATACGAGTAATACAAGAAATTTCATAAAATTGAAAAAGTTTTTGATAAAATTATTACAAAAATGCTTATGTTAATTCAGTATATAAATGATATGTAATGATGGGAAAACTGGTTGTTTCAAAGGATATAAAGTATAGTGATATGATGGAAGTGATTAGTTTTCGTATCTTTGGCTTCTTTTGTCGAAAGAGGTCACCAATCCCAAAGTCTGATTTAATAAAATTTAATAAAAAATCATGAAAATTGGAAAATATATTAGAAATGTATATGAGCCAAGGAAAAAGTAAAAATTAATACATGTATATGAACGTTAGTTAACATAAATAAATAATAAGAAGTTGTATGTAAACTATTGAATTGTAGAATGACTATATCAAGTTGAAACTAAAAATTGTGTATGTAAATGTACGCGCGCTTCAGTGAATTCGCTAATTCAGTGAATATCGTAGCGCACACAGTTAATTTGAACTTTTAATTTGAAAAATGGTATTTAGGAATAAAAGTAATGTATAAAAATAAAATTAGACAAAGTACAAACAAATATTATTAATTAACTATAATTCGTAAAAATTACTTAGAGCTATTTTATTAAAGCAAAGAGTCATTATTAGCTGATATTATATTATATAACAACGCATTAAGAGTTACTTTTTAACAAATAGATTATTTCTAAAGAGTAGCTATAAAATGAATTAATTTAATTATTGGTAATAAATGAGATTGGGCAAAATGGATATTGAATAATATGATGTAGATGCTCTATAATCATCACGTGGCGAAATTATTAATTTGAAAAAGGCAAAAGAACGTGATTTCTATCGAGTATGTATATTCTTATGAATTGAATAAACTTGGTTACCTTCACTGCAATATTTTTAAAACTCTCACAGCCGCAAATTGCAAGAAAGTACGTTTTTCCTCATGAATTTTTGTACAGATGGACTCGCTCTAGGACAAGCATCGATTCACCATTCGCAGATAAAGTGCTCGGAATCCATTAGCCGCTCGTGTGAATGCGCCGGCAGAATAAATGAAGGATCGCAAAAATAAGGAAGCATTTATCCTCGGTCGGCTTATGCAGGTGCGGGATCGTGCGTGACCCGCGAAAACGAGGAAGGACTTGCGCCTCGTCATTTATAACTGCCAGGGCGCGCCTTTCATAGCGGCCGCTTTTGTTTCGCGAGTTGGCCGCAGCGGGAAAAAGGGGTAGACGATAGTGGATCCGGCATTTCAACCGTTGCGTGCCATCATTATCGGACGACGGAGCTGACCCTCGGTGATTACTTTCCCTGGGATTCGAAGAATGCCAAATTGCACGTTTAGCGCGCGGTTGAATCGATGCGCATAAGAGGAGTCGCGGTCGCCAATTTTTCAATTTTCAACGTGGGAGTCGGCAAAGCCCAGCGCTAATGATCAAAAATAAAAAGTGTACGAGCTCCAATGAACTTTATACTCAATCAATGTCTCATGGCATGAAAAATGCTGAACATGCCGCGGGCGATTAAGATTAATACACTGCAATTGAATTTCGTGCAATCCTTACGTCTCTCCTTCCTCTCCAATCCAACTGTTATTTCACGATTCTCTTGTTTTTCCACCCATCTTTCTTTTTAATTACTAAATATTCTTAAAATATCTCTCTTTGTATGCGTATGCATGGTTTCACATATACGCGTATATGTTTAGCGTCAGCATGCATATATACGTATGATAACGTATATGTATGTATTAAAAAGCACTTCATTAAAGTCACTTGCGTACAAATAAGAACAGTACAACGTTATCTTCATTAAATTCTTTAAGCTTACACAAAAACCATTGCAAGCAGCAATCCAAACAAAAAAAAAAAAGTTAATCGACCTCGTGCACTTAACAATATCTTGTCATAAATGTAAATTCAAGGGGAATTGCTCGCAAATCGTTACGGCTCTCAGTATAAATAAGAAGAGCCCCGACGTTTCAATTTAACCGTCCTGTCGTAATAATTGCGTTTCCAATGAATTTAACTATACGTAAGCATGTACGTCACGGAAGAGCAAGGGAGATTGAAAGAAAGGAGATTGTGGTCGTATATACATATTGAATGTGGAAAATCAGACAGATTGATATTCTTGAAATTGGTATTCAAAATTAAGATTACCATCGTAATCAGATAAAACATGTTAATTGGAAAGAAATATTTATTGCAATGATGTTTATGAACACGTTTGTAGAAAGTCATGCAACTTAATTATACGCGAGCCTTCTCATCTCCGAATAACAATAACTTAAAAACACTTTCATTTTATATATAGTAACAAACGACATTTATTATTAATACTTGCACATACTTGAATATTTCAGGTATTGTTAAAAACAATACATAGTAAATATTTTAAAGGCGTGGTAAAAAATAATGATTCTAATAATCTGTTAATCTCTAACGAGTGATTAATTATAAATTAAAAAGAGTATGGCAAGTGTATTTAATATTCAATTCATCACAAGTCTTTATTATTTTTGTAATTTATTATTGATTGATATTTGAGGGTATTTTTATATTATGTAATATATTAATTTAGTTAATTATATGTAAGATTATTTTTTATTTAATTTTTTTCATTAAAAATGTATCTCACGATAATGGGTGATAAATGCTTTTAGTAAGCAAGTACTTGAAACAAGTGATAATCATTATTATTTCACAAGTTCCTAAAATTTAATAACTACTTATCTTTTATTAATTTCATAGTAAAATTGTATTGCCGTATTTTATGAGATGATCATAAATATATACGCAATACTCAATAATTTATTCATAAGAAAACGATTCAATTTATAGTAACTGTTGGCTGTATAATGTTCAGTCAGTAATAAAACAAATTTTAAGTACAATAATTATAAAATTGATCATTGGATTAAATTTTTTTTTTTATTTTCAAGTACTTCGAGAGTTTTTCATAAACTTTTTATAATAAACTTTTGTATTATAAGCGCTTGGTTAAATTTGTAAGCTTAAAGTAACTAATTAAAAATAATGATTCTGTAATATTTTATATTTTGTAAAGATATATTTTAAATATTTGTATTTAGTATATGTAGGAAACTTTGCGCGTTTAATAGCTTATCTACAATGAGAAATTATTGCAGTTCAGAAATAGGCAAATAAATAAAATTATGAAAAATAATTGTAAAAATATATATAGAAGAAACAAGATTAAATACAATATTAACCATAAATTATACTTAAAGATGTGGACAAGATGTACGTTATATATTATTCCTCATGAACTTACTAATTTAAAGACGACTTTTCAACGAAACTAACAAGTCATGCACGAAAGGAACAAAATTGTAGTTAAAAAAACTACCTCTGTTCTCGAACGTTATATTAGACAACAATTGCGAGTATTACACAATCCGCATCGTGGAAAATAGAAAGGATGAATTCCGCGATTCTCGATAAAGAAGACTATACTGCTCCTGTTCAGATAAGTAGTGCCGATGCTTCACAAGTCCGGGCGACGAAGCCACTTGTGGCCCATTCGACTTGGGAATGGGTCCCCCCCCCCCTGTACACGGGTCTCGCAATTAACGCCGCGTATCCCCATAAATAAAAGCCGATATAGAGTCGCGCGCCACAGCTGCAGCCTTGGAGGAGGCGTGCGCCTATAATACGCGAGGTGTGTGGCGGGAAAATTGGCGAGAAAGAGAGAGAGTAAGAGTGTGCGCGTGTGCGCATGTGTGCAAGAGCGTCAGAGAGGTAGAAGCGGTAAGCGGCGACCGTTGGAGTAGAGGATGGCCCCAACCGAACCTCGTAAAATGGACAGGCACGCCCAGGAGACAAAACTCATTTTCGATGAAACGAATCTCTCGTCCTGGCCCTTCTTTCTACTCCTCTCCTTTCTCTTTCTTCAACGGTCTTCCTTTGCGCTTCGTTTCCCTCTTGGTCAGGCGCCAACAAGACGATCCCTAAGAGGATGACGCTTTAACAAAGCTCCAGCTCGTCCATTTTGTTTACGAGAACTTTCTTTTTAAGGAAAATAGGGGGGTATTCGAGCCTGTGTGCCGATACTAGGATTTCTATTGATATGATGAAATTGGTATGGAAAGCAGTGAGATTTTAATGAATTATGGCTGGTAGATGAAGACTTTTCGATTATTTCCTTATATTAGCTGAGATACTTTGTATACAGAGATCTTCATAACGTATGCTTTCTTTAAAATGCGTTAAAGTGTTTCAGATAAATTATTTTTTAACGAGATTCATTAGCGACTACAGACGGTTGTGGCATATAACATTAATAGTATTCGCGAAGTCATAGTCATTTACGATTTCAAATTTATGAAAATTCCATTTAACAGTATTTTCTGCATTAAATTCCTCGAAAATACTATTATAATTTAAGTTTTAAAAGAATTCTTAACATTTATTTAATTATAATTAGCAATACATTAAAAAACAATGTATGTGAACTATTTGAGGGTGCTCGGTAACTTTCACTTATGATTGTAAGTATGTACAATGTTACAACGTAATTTTTCAATACCTTTTTTATTTTAGATGAGCAACCTTATGAATCTTAAAGACAATATTATATGATTATAAAAATATGTAAAACATTCATTTTTTAAGCGTGAAAAATATTAGTAATGGAAAGAAATCTTTATTAGTCTTCATGAATGAATCGTTTCATAATCAAAGACTGCTTATTTTGAAAATTTCTAATTAGATGAAAATTGT